TGAGCAGAGTTCCCTGTCCCCTGTGGGGAGGGGCGGGGAATGGGCTCAGTGAAAACTGTTTTTTGGGGGCTTTTGTTCTCTGGTCGCTTTCTTTGTCTCTTTTGAGAGTCAGAGCAGAAGGGATGGTTTCCCATCCTCTGCCTCAGAACAGAGAGATTGCAAACTGTTCTTCAGTGAGCTCTCCAGGCCACACCATCTCCATTTCTGTCTGTGCTGCTATAAACTGCAGAATCCTGGGTTGTGCGCCCCTCAGCAGGGCTCTTAGTCCTTGCCTCCAGGTCAGGGCATGTCTCTGCCCTTTGTGCTTCTAAAACCGCCAGCCACCCCAGTTTGTATGCACAGCCCCGCCACTCTGGGTTTCAGTTTGGGGGACTGCCCTAAAGTTCTTTCCCCGTCACTACTGCTCTGTGAGTCTGTGCCCTGTCCTCAGCGCAGGAGGATATCGTTCACAGCCAGTGTAGGATCTCCACGGCTCCTTCACACTTCCATTTAGCCTCTGATATCTGCCCATGGAATCATGGCTCCCTGTTTCATACCTCAAAACCAACTGTCCGCCATATTCTGTTTGTAGAGATCCAGATCTATCTTCTTACATCTCAGGCTGATTTCGTGGCTGTTCAGAGTGGTCTCATGGATATCCAGCTCAATTCAGGGGACCAGTTGGAATAGGGTCCCCTACTCCTCCACCATCTTTTCCCCTCTCAGCTTTGTCTGACACTCAAAACCATCCATGTTCTGGCCTAATCACTCCCTCTCCAAGGATGTGTCCTCATAGTCTTTCTATACCACCACCTCCCTCTTGGATTTCCTTTCTCCTCCTGCTCAAGCTTGAAACTACTCCCCTCCTTCCCAGAAATTCATACCATAGCTCAGTGTTCAGAACATTGCTTTTAGAGTCAAACACATCCAGTTCAAAATGCTGTTCTGCCAATTACAAGCTGTGCAACCTTAGGATGGTTATGTAACAACTCTGTGTCTCAATTTTCCTATCAACAAAATGTAAGGGGAAATCTAGTTGTGGAAGAATTGTGAGGATTAAGTGGAATAATGCCCAGCTCACAATATGTGATCCATCTCACTACCAAATCTGTGTGCTCACCTGCTGGAATTCTGAGTGACTTCTCCAGTGAAAGTCTCTAATGGAGCCAGTGTAACTGAGCACCCCTTGAACACTGTAGCCTCAGGCTGCCAATGAGGCAGAAAGCTTATAAGCATGTGTTTTTCTGCCCTGTGCAATGGCTTCCACATTTTCTGCCCAGACTGTGCTTCCTCAGAGAGGTCTCTCCTGGTCTTTACCTAAAATCCCCATGCATTTCCACTTAATGTCTATACCTCATCTTCTTTATTTTCATCATAGCACTTTTCACCATATGAAATAATGTCTTTCTTGCCCACTTTCTTGTCTATCTTCACACTAGAAAGTGAAGTCCCCATGGCAGTTCCACACAGGCAGGATCCACATGGGCAATTCCACATCAGCAGATTTACACAGGTGGATCTACACGGATAGGGTCCCTATGGTAGGTCCACATGGGCAAGTGCACAAGAGTAGGTCCATAAATGGGGGTCCACATGGGCAGGGTCCACACAGCTAAGGTCCCCATGGCAGGTCCCTATAGGCAAGGTCCACACAGGCAGGGTCCACAGGGGGTAGAGTCCCCGTGGCAAGTCCATATGGGCAAGTTCATGTGGCAGGGTTCACACAGGTCCACATAGTTTCATTCTTTGTCTGCCCCAGCATCATGAACAGCATCTGGTGCAGTCAAATAAATGCACAAAAGAATCTCTGCCTCTCTGAAGTACCTCCATCTTCAGACCCAGCTCAGATCCCTCGGCTCCCACAAGGTCTTGTGAATAACCCAGTCCACAGTAATTTGTCCTCATTTGAAGCCCTGTAACAAATCTCCATCTATATTCAGCTGAATCCCTATGGCCATTGTCTATGCCATGTTCAGGTTGTGACATTTCTTGTGTTGTTAAGTATTGTCTGTATTTGACTATGAAGTTATTTCTTATATGTGATGTTATCATTCATACCTTGTGTGATTATTTACCATATATCCTAAATCAGACTATAAACTCCTTGAGGCCAAGACATACTTTTGCATATCTCCTAGAATGATTCAGCACAACACTTTCCATGTGATGCACTAACAAACATTCATTTATTTATTGACCTCTAATAGGTACCTGGCACAGTTTTCAATGCCAGGGATGTGCTGTCCCTAAATAATTAATTGAGTGCTATTATTCAATTATTTCAGTGTATAGGTTTGGAATAAGTGGCTCTTGGCTCTCTTGGAAGGCATTAGAGGGCTGGTCCAACCAGAGACTGTCAACTTTTTGTCTGAGTAACCTCTGATGGGTCACTAACTCTCAGAGACTTTCCAGTCTGTTAAACAGAGATAACACTTTTCTTACAGAATCATGAAAGAGATATATAATGACACCTTATAAACTGCTAAGTTCCATATAAATATCAGTTGTTCCTATTACCACTAGAATAACATAAATTTAAGCTGAAACTGGAGCCATTGTGAATAAAATGTATTCAATTATACCGCTACTATCTTATTATCCAAAGATAATAAGAAATCTGATTTTGGCTGTCACAGTGTACTGAGTGACAACCTTTGAGTAGGACCTCACATTGCCAAATGCCAGCATTCCAGCCAGCATTCCCGGGGTGTGGGGGAACTGCTGCTACCTCAGAGGGAATGCCTGTACCAGGCATTACAGGTTTATCTGCTGCTGGACATCAGAAAATCTAGGGGCCATGAACACAGAGCCCCAGTCCATCCAGAGCAGCTCCCCGAGTTTCTATAATGACACTATTCTTTGAATGCTCAAATCTCTGTTATCAAACCACCCCTGAGGTAGTCTGCTGGGATCAGATACTTGAGCTTGGTGGTAGTGCCATCCATGGCTAGGTATCTGATTGATACAAATATGCCTCACGTACAAAGGTGTGTACTCCCATTAGGATTCACGTGTCTCTCAGTAAGTGACTGCCTTTCTTCCCCAAAACTCAGACCTCAGCTTCCTGTGTGAGCGTCACCTCCTACTTTCAGGCTAGCTTCACTCTGTCTATTCTGAGTCAAGCAGTGCTCTCTTCCCACCTCACCCCTCCACTGAGGCCTGAGGCTTGTTGCTCCAACACATATCACTGGTGTGGGAAGAGCAGGTCCACAGGTGATATCATCTGTTTGTAAACAGTTTCCACAAGTCACCTCCCACTAAAAATCACAGAATCTCAGAGATGGAAGAAGGGATCCCTCCCACACAGAGCAGGGTTGCCCTTCAGAAGCTCCCCAATAGAGGTCCTTTGGCCTCCACTCTAAACATCCTGGATGAATCAATGGACCATCTCCTGCCTCACCTCTGAGCAAATAGTTTTGTTGGGTGGATGCCATGACAGAGCTTGCTAGTCATCGGGTTACTGATGGAGCAGCACCAAGGAGCCTAGCTTCAATTTTCTATGAGCCTAGGTGTGTCCAGAGGCCCAAGTGTCCCTTCCCTTGAATGGTGGTGATTTCTAAGGCAATAGAATATGATGCGAATTCTGAAAACATGGACTTTGGAGTCAGACAGATCCTGGTTTAAATCTTATCTCTCTCACTCACTATCTGGAGACCTTGGATATTCACTAGCTGTGCAACTTTAGGCAAGTCACTGAAACTCTCTGAACCCCAGTTTTCTCAGATTTAAAAAAATGGGGAAAGTAAAGTCTAAATTTTTAGATTACCATGGAGATCAGCTGAGAGAATATATGTAGAGTGCCTAGCCTTGTGCCTGGAACAAAGGAAGTGTCCAATAAGTGGCAGCAATTATCACCACCAGTATTACCATCTCCTGTATCCCTGAACCACAGGGATGTCATTCACCCTGTTTCCTCTTTCCTCAAGTGAGGAAGTAAGATCTATGCCCACAGGCCTGGGCTTCAGAGCTCAGGATGACCTTGCCACCACCATCACAGCAACCTCTAGAGAATGACATAACCATGCTTCTGAGCATGGCTTATTGCACCCTACAGAGTCCCAGAAGTCCATGACTCTTGGTTGGGCCTTGGCTGCACAGATGAGGCCTGAAGAGGGAGCTTCCCAGATTCCTGGAAGGTTCAGCTTGGGAAAGTTTCCTCACCCAGCAAGCAAAGCAGTGGATTGATGATCCTGTAGCAAAAGAAAGTTTCAGATTGCCTGATTCCAAAGTCTCGGAGAATTGCAGATCCAAATCTTTGCCACACAGCAGCTTGTGCAGGGCCTGATGGGCCGGAGGGTGAGCACAACAGCCAGAAGGCTCTGGAAAGTTTCAGGGAACCAGACAAAGCAGTTAGGAGTATAAGCTGGCAGTGGGACACCTAGTCGTCTCCATCATGCACTGGCTGAGTGACTGACCAAGTTACTTATCCTCGGTTTCTCTTCTGTAAAATGGGGTAACAGCACCTATCCCCACTGAGTCATTGTGAGAATGCCATGAGGTGGTGCATGTCACGTCAAGTCTTTAGAACACTTGTGATTTCTGCTATCATAATTAAGTACCAGGAAGCCACTCTTGTTAAGGCTTAAATTTGACTTTTCTTCCTTTTAGGTACGCCAAGCCAGGGCTAAGTGAGAGGTAATGGACAGGTTAACATAATGCGATAATAAACACACAAATGAAAGAATAGAAAACGAAGTGTTCTTGGGAGGTAGAAGCTTTATTATGACATGGATATTTATTAAGCACCAACTGTGTGCAAGCCTCTGCCACAGTAGGGTCCAGTATTCCACCCATGGTGCTCACGTTCCCGGAGAGGATAATAACACGGGGGTCAGAGTTTGGTGGGGCTGAGAACAGGGTGGGTTTTGGAACATCCAATGCAGGTAGGTTTACCGGGAGGTGGGAGGGGAGCACACTCCAACCCAGCCCCTTGCGGAAGCACCCTGACACGCAGCAGGGACTCCGATGGGGAAGCAGGGCTCAGCGGGCAGCCTCCAGCAGCTCACAGGGCGGCGGGGGGCTCAGCAGCCGCCACAGCAGCCTTGGCTCTGGACGTTGCTGGAGCTCTGGTTGCCACCTCCGCAGCAGCTGCAGCACCCGCTCCGACGCTGTCGGCGGCGTCTTCTGGGGAAGCAGCCACAACCGCTGGAGCCACAGCAGCCGCCGTCTGAACCACAGCAGCCGCAGCAGGAGGACGAGGCTGCAGGTGCGGGAGTGGGACACGGAGCGGGGCTCTGGGCACACCCTTTGGAAAAGCCCTTGGAGGAAGCTGCGCTCTGCTGGGAGGACATGGTGGAGCTCAGCTCGTCAGGGTGAACCTAGAAGACAAGAAGTTTTTTACAGGCTAGCAGGCCTTTTCCCCCAACAACTGAACTCAGGGCTTTAGAGATTTGGTTGGCTTTGTGAGCAAGCTGCCCTGGCCTGGTGCAGGGGAGAAAGGAGGGGAAGCAAAGAAACACACCCCAACCAGGTGTTTCCAGTGAGTTAAACAGGCATAAAGCACGGAACAGTCTGCCGAGAATCAATGGGTTTCCATTTTCTCCAACTAAAATAAGGACCATCCAAGTGTTCCACAGTGGAAGCTAAAGAGGATATGATGGCTATTTATCTGCATGATCCAGTCCAAACTCTTCCTTTGGCTCCTTTCTCTTCCCCCATTTCCCTGTGGCCGCAGATCTTCAAGGGCTGTTCACACAGTTATTAGCATTGTATAAACACCCCATCAATTAGAAAATACCCAAATCACACATGAGGACCTCCTGCCTGGGTCTAAAGAACCCACAAATACAAGAAGCATGTCCTGGTCATCATTCCTACCTGTGCCCCGTTCCCAAGTATAGGGAAAAGAGTGCACCAGTCTGCATACCAGTGGTGTAGAAGATGGAAATACATCCCAGTCTACACCAGTGGTGTAGAAGGTGGAAATACATCCCAGTCCAGGGAGCCAAAGACCTGGGCTCTAGCCACATTCTGCTAACCTTACAGAAGTCACGGTCCCAAGTCGAGCCTCCATGTCCTCATTGGTACCATGAAAGATTGGCTCACTTGAAGCCTAAGGCTCTGCTCTGCCTTCTCCTCCCCTCTGCCTTCAAGTCTAGAATTACCCCCCAGGCCCTGCTTGGACACTTACCAGACCCTGGTTCCACTGGAAGACTCGATCAGTTCACAACTGGAATAGGGCAACTGCTAGGCAGTGGACTGAGCAGTGTCCAGCCAGAGAACCTTTTATAAGATTGCAGTAAGGCACTGACTCTTGGGAGGGGCCCATTTCCCAATAGACAGGGTCAGCTGATGTTCACATCCCAGAGACATTCATCACTCAGGTAGCACTGTAGGTGGTGCACGTGGGTATTCAAGTCACTTCACAGAGGTGCCAGGATTGCTGTGGCATGTTTACTTTCCAAATAAGACACTGTCCATAGCTGGGAGGGCTGTGTGTGTGCTAAGAAAAGTTATGAGGGCTCATGTGGGGTCTGGGACCTCTCTTTGGGACCTGTTCTCTTGGCCCTCTTCTACAACACACACACACACACACACACACACACACACACACACACACGCCCCATTCTCACATCCATACCTGTGTAGTCATTTACTTGGTATTGGTAATTTACTTACTTTATTATCTTTCTTTGCATCTCTCTGACTCGGTCCTTGGCTTTTCAAGTCAGGCCACAGGCTATGTGAAAAGCCTGTTGGGCTTCATCTAGAAGCTTCCAGATAACACTGAGTTAAGATGACGGTGGGGATATGCCTATGGGAATCCCAGTGCTGATTTCTCTCTGTCACTGGAAACAGGAAGAAAAACCCAGGCAAAGTTATAGAACCATTAAGACCAGAAAAATTGTGAATGTAGTCAGGTTGCCATATCTTCATACAGCCCTGGAGGCTTAAGAGAAAAATATGTGCAGGATGCCTGGCCCAATTGCAAAATGCTAAGCCAGCTTGTGGGATTCCCTGCTTCTTACTCCCCACCCCCACCAAAATCCTTTTGAAGATAGGTTCTCCTTGGAACCACTGGCCAATGGAGAGAGGGAGGGAGGGAGGGAGGGAGGGAGGAAGGAAGGAAGGAAGGAAGGAAGGAAGGAAGGAAGGAAGGAAAGAAAGAAAGAAGAAAGAAAGAGAGAGAGAGAGAGAGAGGGAGGGAGGGAGGGAGGGAGGGAGGGAGGAAGGAAGGAAGGAAGGAAGGAAGGAAGGAAGGAAGGAAGGGAGGGAGGGAGGGAGGGAGGGAGGGAGGAAGAAAGAAAGAAAGAAAGAAAGAAAGAAAGAAAGAAAGAAAGAAAGAAAGAAAGAAAGAAAGAAAGAAAGAAAGAAAGAAAGAAAGAAAGAAAAAAGAAGAAAGAAAGAAAGAAAGAAAGAAAGAAAGAAAGAAAGAAAGAAAGAAAGAAAGAAAGAAAGAGAAAGAAAGAAAGAAAGAAAGAAAAGAAAGGAAGGAAAGAAGGAAGAAAGAAAGGAAGGAAGGAAGGAAGTCAAGCCAGGTGTTTCCCAAGGTCCAAAGTACCCATGAGAAATGGTACTTTTAGAATAAATGAGTTTTAAAATCTGGGACAGAGTTTGGAGGTCAACTGGCTTCAGAACTTCTTAGTGAATGCAAGCACCCACAACCATGAGATAAAAGAGAAACCCAAGACTAAGAATTCAAGAGTTGATGGTGAGAGATAGGTTGAAGGTAAGTGAGCTGGGCATGGTATGATGAAACAAAAAAAGGTCAATCATGAAAGATACCAGTTTCATTTACTGTAACTTTAGAGCCTGATTAACAGGTTGCATGTACCTGGGGGCACTTGTTGGTGAGTACAGGTGAGACATTCCAAGAAGTGAGATCTTATTAGAATGAGAAAGAAGTAATGAAGTAAGAAGGCCTCTAAGAGAGGGGATCTTTTCTGGGAGATGACATGGACAAGTGCAGGAACGCTACATGGACTTGCTATGGTCTCATATACTAACTTACTTCACCTATCACTGTTAACTTATATCAAAGGAAAAGCTAATTATTATTCTTGTCTGATGGTTGTCCTGCCCTCAGATGGGTTCCATCCTGGCAAGGGGCTGAGCCACCATGCCACCTTCAGGGACCTGGCCCCCCTAAAACAAGGGACAGGGGCTGCAGGGTTTGCCAATCTCGCACCCATGACATTTGGGGCACATCCACCAGGTGCCAGGAGCACACTTCTGAGTTGTGACAACCACAAATGTCCCCGGGCTGGGAGTGGGGGCAAACGAGAAGCGAGAAGCCCTGGGATATTCTCTGTATGGATTTTGACCTCTTTTATTTTTTTTTTCATTTGAAGGATCTACTTTATTTTCACAAATTAATTACCATGATAAAAAGAGAGTCTAACTTTTTGAATATAGGTATTCAGAATTTTATCAGCTACTGATAGCGTATCCTGACCATACGGAATTGTCTTCATTTTCATATTTTCAGTAAGAAAATGTCTTCAATAGAAAATTATACAATAATGCATAAGGGTTTTACTATAGTTTAATGAATTAGGTAAGATTATCCTATGATGGTATCTTACTGATATGAAGAGCATTTGCTAAACACATATAAGAAATTTCAAAAAGTCTGAGCTAAAAAAACAAATAGATTACAATAGTTAATATTAGTATTTATTACATGCCTGGGCTCTTCCCATGAATGATCTCGTTTAGCCTCACAATGACCTTATTAAGTAGATATTATTATTATGCTCACTTTATTAATGAGAGGCTGAAGCTCAGAGATGTTAAGTGCCTGGCCCAAAGGCTCCCAGTGGAGGAGTGGGAGTCAGGGATTGTGCACCTGACTGCTAGGCACCGTGCCGATTTCATCTGTTCCTTTTATTCGTAGAGTGACACCCTCAGACGCTGACTCAGTGCTTTTAACTCTATTCTAAATGGCATTCCACCACATTTGGCGATGTGACCACCTCGGACTGGAAGTAGCAAATTTAGAAAGGTTTGGAAGAAGGCTTCTTGTGGGCAGGCACAATGAAGCAGGAGACATTAAAAATACACAAAGGGGAAATGGGAACTGAAAAGTCTAACAAAACAGGATTATTCAGGGTAGGAACAAGATAAACACAGTTTTGCAAGGGAGTGGGGTAGACAGATAGTAGAAGGAACTACCGTTTGTTGAACACCCATTATAGGTCAAGGTTTTACCTTCACCGTCTGCTAATCCTCACGATGCCCCCCCTCCTCCGGCAGGCTCTTCTATTCCCATCCTGAGGCTCAGAAAGGTTCAGCACCCCGCCCAGGCTCCCTCCTCATGCTATAAAAATGCTTACAAAGGAAACGCTTCTTGGCACTGAATAGGGTAACAAGTTATCTGAAAAAGTTACTAACCCAAAATACCAGCTGATGGATAAGTGAGGTGTTAGAGTTTTTTTTTTTTAAACTTTAAAAAATGTAAACTTAGAAAATCCTAAATTTAGAATATCTATATGCTGAGGTTGTGCCAACGGGGGATTTTTCATTTGATGTCCTAATTTTAATTGTCTGGTTTTCTTTTTTTAAACTACCAGTATAGGGGTTTTTACTTGGTGAACATTCTTAGCAAATTCAAGGCACTGTGCCAAGAAATAGAGAGTGGCAAGAGAACGGCATTTGGAAGTGTATAAAAGAAGAAAGAAAGTCTATAAAAGACTGATTGGGAATTATCATTCTTATCGTAAACTTTCTGAGTATCTCCTGAAGGAATTAGCCTATTCCTAAAGAAAATGGAAAACTCACCACAGTGACTAAAGCCCTCCTGTTCCCTCTTAACACACACACACACACACACACACACACACACACACACCCCATACTGACCACATGGAGACATTCTTTGGCAGAGGAGGATGCCCTTCTTGGTTCTGTACTTGGACCCATACTCAGGCTTTCAGGATCCAGGGAAAGTGGGCTCAGACATTTCATACCTGCCTCCTAAACCCACTCCCCCAAATCCAACCCCCCCAATATCTCCTCTCCAGTAACAGATGGAAGCATCTGGGATAATAATCATCAGAAAAGGAAAGGGTGTTTATTTATTGAGGCCTGGAATGAGCACTTGAGGAGACCTTATCCCCATAACTAGGAGATAAAGCCTCCTTAAACTGTCACCCATACTTGAAGGAAACCCCTGCTTCAGAGTATCTCATATCACTGTAACCTTTCTGGGTACACCATCTTCCCCTCTGAAAACCCATTCTTGACTCCCCTCATGCAAAGTTTGTGTAAGGGTAATAGTCTCAGATATGAATCTTTCCTTCAAGTCTAAAGTTTCCAAAATCAAAGCATAAAAGGGAATATTGTTTCCCAG